TTTTTTTTTGTTTTGGAATGGCTACTAACAGCCACGACACCATCCGGCCGCCGGTCTGCAACCAGAACGACGCCCAGCCACCGCCGACAGCAGGTTGTCTTTTCTTTTTCTTTTTTTTTTCTTTTTTTCATTATAACTTTATAGCATTTATTCATTTTTTTATATACATAGGCAGCACAAACTTAATTCCTAATTGTTTAATTTGAATTTTTTGTAGGATTTGTAGATTTACTTGGTTCTTTGGCAATAACAAGTGCATATCTACAGGTTAGAGACTGTATAAAACCTAAAATTATAAATTTAGTTTATACTTGGCATGTTAGTCGGTAAACGTATTTAGATATATGTTAGTTTATTATTGTTTTTAAGAAGTGTATACAATTTGTTGTTTTTATATTTTAATATGTTGAAATATTTTAAATGAATGTGTTTGTGTTATGATATGTTAGTTTAGTTTATTTAAGTTTAGTTTTTAATAGTTGCATTATAACATGTTAACATAGTTTGGTTTAGTTCATTATAATAATTTATGTTAGTTTAGTTTATTTTAGATTAGTGTTTGTTAGTGTATTTAGTTTAATATTTTTGTTTTATGTAATGTTGAATATAATATTTAGTAATTGTGCTTATTTATTTGCTTAGTTTAGTTTAATTATAATAAATCTCTGTGTAGTATAATGCATGTGACCTTCACTTTATATATATAATAAATGAATCATTTGCATAATCATTTGCCTAGATACCCGTTCAAGGCATACACATTAGGAGTATGTCTTGAATAGTCCCCGGTTGGGACTACCCTTGTACGCTTATTCTCACTTAGGTTGTGAATGTAAGCCTTGCTTTTGATTCTAGGGAAAATCCTGCCTTTTCATTTCTCTACACTGTTCTCTGGGTACATATGTAGGTGTGTTTAATCGCCTACATCGTGTACTTGGAGAATTGTAGGGAAATGCTGGCGGATTTTCCATAGAATTGCAAATCTGGCTTACATTCACTAGTGGGATTAAACGTACAAGGATGGGTTAGGTTGGAGTGATAAGGACCCTTTGGAAGCATTTCAAATCTTATTTGCATTTCCATAACACTTTGATGGATAATGATTAGGAAATACGCTTTGTGACTAATGTGATTATACATATGCGTGAGTTGTGTAGAAGTTGTAATCATGAAATGAACATAACGTAGCTGGATGTATGAAAGGAAGGTTGGGCAATATGTTTATCCAGAGTTCGTGAAAGGGGTTGATGAATTCATGCAATACGTCAAAGATAATCCCGAGAGTAGTAACCCGAATGAAGTTAGGTGTCCATGTGCTAAATGTAAGAACAAACGGCTTTGGGATCCAGATACGGTTAAACTTCATTTGTTTCGCGCGGGTTTTATACCTAATTACTATGAATGGATGTGTCACGGGGAAGGGTTTCCGACAGTTCCTAAATGAGGGTCCAATGAATATCGTGAAATGGTTTTCGATGCTTTTGGTCATAGTCAGGATCAAGGGCATTCCGAGCAGGCCAGTGTTTCATCAGAGGAGGAGCCTAATGCACAAGCTAAGCATTTTCTGGATTTGTTTAAGGCTTCTAAAAGGCCATTATACGAAGGGAGTTTGTTGTCTGTGTTAGAGATGGCCGCTAGAATCACCATTCTAAAGTGCAAGTATAATCTGCCCCACAGATGTTTTGATGGGTTTGTTTCTTTGCTCAGTGAAGCAATTCATAACAACAATCAAATGGTCGACACATTCTATGAGGTGAAAAAGATTGTGAAGGGCTTGGAACTGCCTCATGAAAGGATTCACGCTTGCCCGAAAGGATGTATGTTGTTTTGGAAGGATGATGCCCAGCTGTCTACATGAAAGGCGTGTGGCAGCGATCGATACAAGCAGACTTCCAAGGGTAGCCTAGTGCCTTTGAACGTTTTTTTTTTTATTTCCTGATCACACCCAGGTTGCAAAGGCTGTTTACAACCAAGAATATTTCGGAGGAAATGACATGGCATTCGAAAAATCCTCGAGTTCAAGGCACTATGGCACACCCAAGTGATAGTGAAGCCTGGAAACACCTCGACAGTTGCTTTCCAGAGTTTTCCTTCGAGCCTCGTAATGTTCGGCTTGGCTTGTGTACAGATGGTTTTGCTCCTCATGGCAAGTTTGGGGGACAGTATTCTTGTTGGCCTGTCATTTTGACCCCTTACAACCTGCCTCCCTCAATGTGTATGAAAAGACAATTTATGTTCCTTTCGTTGCTCGTTCCTGGACCTAAAAACCCTAAGGGAAACTTGGATGTGTACATGCAACCGTTGATAGAGGAGTTGGAACAGTTGTGGGAAGTTGGTGCGCATACGTACGATATTTCCACAAAACAGAATTTCAATCTTCAAGCAGCCATCCTATGGACCATTAGTGACTTCCCGGCTTATGGTATGTTGTCCGGTTGGGCCACATCTGGTGAGAAAGCTTGTCCATATTGCATGGACAAAAGCAAAGCATTTTGGCTAGAACATGGTTGTAAGGTTTCTTGGTTTGATTTCCACCGCCAGTTCCTTTCGACATATCACCCTTTTCGGAATAGTAGAACTGCGTTCTGCAGAAACAAAGTCGAAAAGGGTGCACCTCCACACATTATGTCAGGAGAGGAACTGTGGGAATGTGTGAAAGACTTTCCGAAGGCTACAGATGGGCCCGAGTCACTTCAACGCCTCAAAAAAGAAAAGAAGGGGTGGTTCAAGCAAAGCATACTGTGGGAGCTTCCGTATTGGAAGCATCTGCTTATTCGTCACAACCTAGATGTCATGCACATTGAAAAGAACTTCTTTGATCAGTAAATTCACACTGTAATGGATGTGAAAAAGCATACGTGTGACACGCCATCCGCTCAAAATGACATTGCCAAATATTGTAACCGTCCGCAGCTTCATCTTCAGGAGGATGATAGAGTTAAAGAGTTCATGCCAAGGCCTCCATTTGCTCTTGACAAGGCTCAGAGAAAAGTTTTGTGTGAGTGGGTTAAACAGTTGTGATTTCCCGATGGTTACGCCTCCAATTTGAGCAGATGCGTGGATATGCAAGCACGTAAGCTACACGGAATGAAAAGCCATGATTGTCACGTGTTCATGGAGAGGTTGTTGCCTACTGCTCTGAGGGAATTGCTCCCTTGCCATGTTTGGAATGCAATAACAAAGATCAGCCAATTCTTTCGCGATTTGTGTTGTTATACAACATCGATTAGTGACATGGAGCGATTGGAGAAAAACATAGCTGAGATCCTGTGCAAGCTTGAGAAGGTCTTCCCCCCTGCATTCTTTAACTCCATGGAGCATTTACCCATTCATTTTCCATATGAGGGGAAGTTATGTGGTCATGTTCAATATAGATGGATGTATCCGTTCGAAAGGTAAATCAAAGACCCATGCACATCCTATTTCTTACATCAAATTCAATGTCATGTCGTGTTTATACATTTACATAACTATGATTGCAGGTTCCTTAATCATTTCAAACGAAAAATTGGAAACAAGGTTCGAGTTGAAGGATCCATTTGCAATGCTTATCTCACCGAAGAGATAGCAAAATTCTGCAGTAACTACTTTCAGGCGACGGTTGACACTAAAACACGAGATCTCAGTCGAAATGTGAATGCCGACGTGGACTCCACAGTGGACGACGCTGAAATTCCAGAGTTGTTCACGGAGGATAGCGGTCGTGTGTCAAATGAGGGCAAAACTCGGTATTTAGATGAAAAAGAACTCGAGTGCGCTCATCTGTTCGTGTTACGAAACACCGGCATTCTTGGTGAATACGAAAGGTATAATATAGTTTAGGAATGAAGTGTAGTTGGATGATATGATCAACTAAAATGATTACAATGTTGATTTACATTAATTTTGGCCTCGTAGGAAGTTGGAGGACTACGTTCTTAGTACTCGACCTTATCTGCGTAGAGAAGAAGTAACGGAGAAATGCGAAGCTGAATTCCCTGATTGGTTTCATCCAAAGGTGATGTACACTGTCTAAACTTAGGATAATTATGATTTACTATTCGTTGATATTTAATTTACTCATTTAGGGAAGTGTGACGGTTATATTCAAAACGTTTATAGGTTGTTGAGGAAGAACAAAACTCGGATGTGCTGCGAGTGTTGTGCATTCACCCTTTCAAGCGTGTTCGAACTTGGAAGCAGATTTTTGTCGGTGGCTTTAATTTCCATACACATGCCCATGGCAAGCACAAATCTACGATGAATTTTGGGCGTGTGTGTATCAAGTGAGGATGGTGGAGAGTACTTCGGCATTTTAGACGACATTATTGAACTGGTCTACACTAGTCCCGAAAAAGAGTACAAGACTATTTTGTTTAAGTGTAGTTGGATGGATTGTGGTAGGGAAATGAACATATATGAACAGTACAAGCTTGTCGAAGTGAATCATACTAAGAAATACCCCAAGTACGATCCCTTTGTTTTATCTTACCAAGTGACTCAAGTGTACTACGCATCATACCCTAGCCTGAAACGGGATCGAATACAATGGTGGGCTGTTTTTAAAACAAAGGCAAGATCAGTGGTTGATGCTCCGGTGGACTTAGAGTTCTTGCACGCACCATCCCCACAATTACATGCAACGCTTTGCCCACCGAATGAATATTCTAGACTATGTCCAAGATGATGATGAGGAGGATGATGACGATGGCTTTGTTATCTCGAGCGATGAAGATGATGAATCTAGCATCAACTCTAGTGATAATGACGAGGATGATGATATCGATGTATTATTAGATGATAGTAGTGATGATTCCAGTAGTGATAGTAGTAGTGATGACATTAATGAATAGGGGAATATGTTACTCTCCCTTGAATTTGCTTATTATTGTAAAATAGACAAATGACTTGGCCTTTTAATAAATCGATCATTACTTTTACGCTGAAATGTTATTAGATTGCCCGAGTCACTTGTAACTTATAATATGTTGTAATGTTATTAACAACAATTTCAGGTGATCATGGCGGGCGGTAAAGACAAAGGTAAACGGACAATGGAGATTGACTCTTCCGATGAGGACATGGAGGATGCACATGATTTGGGTACTACTCAGGAGCCCACTTCCAGCTCATCACGAGATCAGACATAGGAGCGTTCATTGTTGCCGGAATTAGACCCTACTGTGCTCTGGTACGTACATACATTCAATGCATTGGGATTATAATCTTTTTTTGAGAAGTTAACCTATTTATTACTTGTAACAAGTTTTGCAATACGCTTTGTTAATGATCATCTAACTTTGTGGTTTCCTCATTTCATGTAGGTTTGACGACAACAAGGTGAGGAATGCGGTCTCCGGGATGCTAACCGGGTACTATCGACAGCCTTGGAGGAATTACAGGGAGGTGGATGCAGCAACCAAGGAACACTAGTGGAACCTATTCTACGTAAGCGATTATAAACTTAATTGAAAACATGTTTTATGAAAATGTTGAGATGAAGTTGAATATATGACTTACAAAGTTTATCATTTGCAGAAAGAATTCACGTGGGCACCTCAATTGACCGAGGATGTGAAGCACACTTTTGAAAAGAAGCTTGTTACTCGGTTACGTGACATGTTCTACACAGTCACGCACAAGATGAGAGGGGCAAAGCCAGGCTGGCTCATTGAGGATGTCCACAAGAAAATGATGGATATTGTTGCCGCCAATCCAACTTACAAGAAGAGGTCGGCCCAAAACAAGAAGAACAGGAGGGGCGACTCAATGGAAAATTCGGTTGAAGCTACCTACTATCAGGGTTCGATGTCAGCTGTAAAACATGCTAAACAAATGGTAAGTTTGTTGAATATGCAGGTCTAATAGAAGAGTATTGTGTATTACTATGTACAGGTGCTCTAAAATTTACAGTTTATCATTTTCTTCATGTACAATCAAAGGCGGCGAAGAATAAAGGCCAGCTCCCAACATCTCATGAGCTGCTTATGAAGATGCACTTCAAGGAAGTGACTGGGAAAGGCACAATACCAACCAACACCAAAGCACAGCATATTGCGGTATTAACTTCAATAACACCTAAAACTGTTATATGCAAGTTATAAGAAAGATCTGTTTGTTTTTGTGATTTCAAGTCATGTGCACCTAAAACTACCTATAATATGCATGTTATGAGAAAGAAAAGGTTCGTTAGGTCAGAAATGATGAAAATAGGGAACAAATTGGTCATGTAGGGGTCTTTTGGTTGAATTTGGTTCCAAATCGTCCCCGGAACTTAGAGACTTGGTTGTTTTTGTGATTTCAAGGCATGTGCACCTAAAATTACCTATAATATGCATGTTATGAGAAAGAAAAGGTTCGTTAGGTCAAAAATGATGAAAATAGGGAACAAATTGGTCATGTAGGGGTCTTTTGGTTGAATTTGGTTCCAAATCATCCCCGGAACTTAGAGACTTGGTTTTTTTTTATGATTTCAAGTCATGTGCACCTAAAACTACCTATAATATGCATGTTATGAGAAAGAAAAGGTCTGTTAGGTCAAAAATGATGAAAATAGGGAACAAATTGGTCATGTAGGGGTCTTTTGGTTGAACTTGATTCCAAATCGTCCCCAGAACTTAGAGACTTGGTTTTTTTTTTGTGATTTCAAGACATTTGCACCTAAAACTACCTATAATATTCATGTTATGATAAATAAATGGTCCATTTGGTTAGAAATGTAGAAAATAGGCAAAGAATAGGTCATATAGGCCTCAGTTGGTTCTATTTGGGTCCAATTCGTTCATAAAACTTAGGGAGTTGGTTTTTTTTTTGTGATTTCAAGGCATTTTCACCTAAAACTATCTATAATAGACATGTTATGACAAAGAAAAGGTTCATTTGGTTAGAAATGTAGAAAATAGGCAAAGAATAGGTCATATAGGCCTCAGTTGGTTCTATTTGGGTCCAATTCGTTCATAAAACTTAGGGAGTTGGTTTTTTTATGATTTCAAGGAATTTACATCTATAACTACTTATAATACACACATTATAAAAAAGAAATGGTTCATTTAGTTAGAAATGTAGAAAATAGGTAAGGAATAGGTCATATAGGCCTCAATTGGTTTTATTTAGGTCCAAATCGTTCCCAAAACTTAGGGAGTTTATTTTTTTGTGATTTCAAGGCATTTTCACCTAAAACTATCTATAACAGACATTTCATGACAAAAAAATAGTTCATTTGGTTAGAAATGTAGAAAATAGGCAAGGAATAGGTCATATAGGCCTCGGTTGGTTCTATTTGGGTCCAAATCGTTCCCAAAACTTAGGGAGTTGGTTTTTTTTGTGATTTCAAGGCTTGAGCACCTAAAACTATATATAATAGACATGTTATGACAAATAAATGGTTCATTTGGTTAGAAATGTAGAAAATAGGCAAGGAATAGGTCATATAGGCCTCAGTTGGTTCTATTTGGGTCCAAATCATTCCCAAAACTTAGGGAGTTGGTTTTTTTGGTGATTTCAAGGCATGTGCACCTAAAACTACCTATAATAGACATGTTATGATAAATAAATGGTTCTTTTGGTTAGAAATGTAGAAAATAGACAAGGAATAGTTCATATAAGCCTCAGTTGGTTCTATTTGGGTCCAAATCGTTCATAAAACTTAGGGAGTTAGTTTTTTTTGTGATTTCAAGGCATTTGCACATAAAACTACCTAAATAGACATTTTATGACAAAGAAATGGTTCATTTGGTTAGAAATATAGAAAATAGGCAAAGAATAGGTCATATAGGCCTCAGTTGGTTCTATTTGGGTCCAAATCGTTCATAAAACTTAGGGAGTTGGGTTTCTTTTTGTGATTTCAAGGAATTTGCACCTAAAATTACCTATAATAGGCATGTTATGATGTAGAGATAGTTCATTTGGTAAAAAATGTATATAATGGGCAAAGAATAGGTCGTATAGCCCTCAATTTATTGTATTTTGTTCAGAATTTTGATTTTAACTCACATATGTGTGCACCTTTTTCATATGTGTATCTTGTAGGAGACCTACCAGAAGAAATTTGAAGAAGCAAGCACCCAAGGGATTCAGAAGAGTCCAAATGAGTTGTACTGGGAAATTGTAGGTGGTCGCAACAAGAAGGGTCGTGTGAAGGGACTTGGCCAAGGTGCAGAGCTGTATTATGGCAACAGGAAGGGTTTTAATTCTTCCTAGCAGTACACGCCTTCCTTTCTTTCCCAGATGCGGGATCAGATGGACTAGAGGGTGGAGCAGAGGTTGGAGGAGAGGGTGCAAGCTATGCGGAATGAAATGGAAGTCGAGATGGAGACTCGATTGGCCGAAATAGAAAGGAGAAACCAAGAGAGGTATGAAGAGATGATGCGTCAATTCTCCAGCAATGACCCATCTTCCAACATTCCACATCAGCGTCGAGACCCCACGAACGACCCGGGTAGCGGCGGTGCAAGGCAAGGTATTCCGGCGGTAGCTTAGCATTTGTGTATATAATATATACATGTATTAAGATTTAGATTATGTTGTATAGTTGCACAAAATGTAAACATTATTATAAATAAATATATAAAAATATTTTCGTAATTAAATCGTCAATTCAAAGCAATCTAAAATTAGGTGCAGGATATATTAGGTGCAGGATATTAAATTAATTCATTTATTTTTTACTAAAAAAACAGGACTATCCCGACGGATTTTTTCGTCGGAATATATACTATTCCGACGGACTTTTTCGTCGGAATAGTATAAGCTTTCGATGGACTTTTTCGTCGGAATGTTATAAGCTTTCGACGGAAATTTTTGTCGGAATATTATAAGCTTCCGACGGAATTTTCCATCGGAATAGTATATGTTCCGACGAAAAATTCCGTCGGAAGCTTATAATTTCCTACGGATTATTTTTCGTCGGAAGATTGCGACGAACTCTCGTTTAAAGTCAAATCCGGCTCCGACAGAACTAAATCCGTCGGAGATTCCGTCGGAAATTGGCCTTCCGACGAAATTTTCCTCGGAAAACGTCAATTTTCCTACGAGGTGTATTGCGATAGACATCTTCTGCCGGATTTTCGTTGTTTCCGACGGAATATTTCCATCGGAATCCAGCTGTTTTCTTGTAGTGTGGATGTTAAAACGGCTTTCCTCCATGGTGATTTGGAGGAGGAGATTCTGATGAAGCAACCCGAGGGGTTCGAGGTTCCTGGAAAGGAACACTATGTCTGCAGATTACGAAAGTCATTGCATGGACTTAAGCAATCCCCCCGACAATGGTACAAGAGGTTTGATTCTTTTATGGTTTCACATGGTTTTGATAGAAATTCATATGATTGCTGTGTGTATCATAGCAAGCTGGATAATGGTTCCATGATTTATCTATTGTTATATGTTGATGACATGCTGGTTGCCACAAAGAATAAATCTGATATTGCTAGATTAAAGGAGATGCTTAACTCGGAGTTTGACATGAAAGACTTAGGTACAGCTAAGAAGATTTTGGGTATGGAGATCTACCGGGATCGAGCTAGAGGTAAGCTTTTCTTGACTCAGAAAAGCTACATTGAAAAGATTTTGTCTCGTTTTGGGATGGAAAAATCAAAGCCTATAAGTACGCCAACTAATATAAGTTGTAAGTTGTCTTTGTCTATGTCACCTCAAACAGAGGAGGAGTTGTCTTATATGTCTAGAGTTCCATATGCCAACACGGTTGGTTGTTTGATGTATGCTATGGTCTACACTAGGCCGGATATTGCGCATGCTGTTAGTGTTGTAAGTAGGTTTATGGCTCGACCTGGGGGGGAACACTAGCAAGGGGTGAAAAGGATTTTTCGCTATTTGAGAGGGACAGTTGATATTGGACTTGTGTATGGGAGTGGTAAGGACTGCTTGGTGATTGGGTATAGTGATTCTGATTATGCAGCTGATGTGGATACCAGGAGGTCCGTGACTGGGTATGTGTTCACTTTGGGTGGTTCTGTGGTGAGTTGGAAGTCTACATTGCAGTCTTTGGTTACGTTGTCTACTACTGAAGCTGAGTACTTGGCTTTAACTTCTGCAGCTCAGGAGTCCATTTAGCTCAAAGGCCTTGTAGGTGAACTGGGTATTGCACAGGATTTTGCTACGGTGTATTGTGATAGTCTAAGTGCCATTTTCTTAGCTAGAGATCAAGTGCACCATGATCGGACCAAGCACATTGATGTCAGTAGGGCTAAGCAAAACTATCTGAAAATCCGGTAATCCGATCCGCATCCGATCCGAAAATTATGGATATCCGATCCGAAAATTTTGGATATCGGATATCCAAATTTTGGATTTCGGATATTTGATATCCGATAAAAGTCGGATTTCGGATATTTGATATCCGATAAAAGTCGGATATCGGATATCCGAAAAAATACCCAAACCAGCACACCTTAAAAACCCCGCGTGAAGGCCCAAATACCTCCAAAGGCCCAAATGCCCAAACCAACAATCCCTAAATCAAAACCCTTCGAATCCCACCGCCCTTCTCGATCTCTTTCCTCTCAAATCTCTAGCGCCTCTCTCTCTCCTCTCAAATCTCTTCCTGTAATTATTCTTCCTCACCGCCACTCTCTCTCTCTTCTCTTTCATCATCCTCTTAGATCTCACTCATCTCAGCAAGGACTCCTCTCAAATCTCTTCTCTTTATCTTCTCTTTCACCTTCTTCTTCTCCTTCGATCTCAACTTCGATCCTCACGGCTACTTTACTGGCGACCACGCAACACCATCCTCCAACCGTCGTCATCAACAACCGCAGTAACAGCCGCGACCGTTCAGGTCATTGCTCCATCGAGCTTCCAACCCACAACACCGACGACGACCCTCTTCTCAACTTCATTTCAATGGCAATTAATATTTCTTTGTTTTGTATTTAGATTTGTGTGAAAATTTTTTGTTTTGTAATTGGTTTGTGTAATTTATTGTTTTGTAATTTGTGAAAATTATTTGTTGTATTTTTTAAATTTTTTATTTGATTTTTTCTCTTTTTTCTGGTTGTTCAAGACTTTGATGGTTACATCAGCTGCATTAATCTGTTGAAGGCTTCAAGTAGTTGTAATGATTTTTTTTTTTTTGGTTTAGAATAATTGCAATTGATGCATAATTAATTTAATTCACCTTTTTTAAAAAAATACCATTTAATTATTATTTATATAATATAATATTATTAAATGGGTCGGATATTGGATATCCGAGCTTTTCGGATATCTGGATATCGGATATCCGAAAATTTCGGATTAGATATCGGATATCAGATATCCGAATTTTTAGATACGGATATCCGATCCGAAAGTGGCTTTCGGATCGGATATCCGATTCGTGCTCACCCCTGGATGTCAGGTATCATTTCTTACATACTGACAAGAGGGTTAAGGGGAAGAAGATTGGGACTGCTGACAACCCGGCTGATTTCTTCACGAAGCCTATTCTATTTAGTAAGTCTAAACATTGTTTGGACTTGCTAAATATTGATTACTATGTGATGTAGTAGGCCCTTAAGGGTGATGTTGGGGAGCTCCTAGTGTAGGCATGTTGTCCTTAAGGTGGAGCTTGCCTGGGGCTTGTGATGCAGGTGGAGCATTATGAGCTGTTATACTTGGAGACGAGTAGGTGATGGGTCTTAGTTGGAGGCTTATCAGGATGGGTCTTAGTTGGAGACTTATCGGGATGTATAGCTTATACATGATCTTTGCATCGGGTTAGGCTTGAGATGTTTTTCACTATGTGTTGATGGGATCGTTTTTGCTGACTACGAGTTCTCGTCGAGGTGGAGATTGTAGATGGTTAGGTGACTCGAACTATAGTGCAGCCTTCCTCTGCCCAACCGGGCATGCTATGCCCTGGCTGATCGGGCGGTGAGGATAGGCTGTGCAATGTATCTTGCAATCCCCACTGCCCGATCGGGCATGCCATGCCCTGGCAGACGGGGCAGTAAGGGTAGGTAGCGCAAAGTATCTTTGTTGAACGTTGCTTTGCGTGCCCAACCGGGCGGAAGGAGATACGATAGAGACGCGGTTTTGCGGAAGTTAGAGTTATCTTATTATTTTATCTTGTAGCCCAAGTATCTTTTAATTAGGGATTAATATAAAAACTTCCTGATATTAGTGCTAGGGTAAAAAAAAACAAGAGGGCAAGAAGAGCCGTTCTTGAGAAAGACTTGATTCATCTTTGTAATTCTTTGCGGTTTATAGTGAAATACTTTGATCTCAGTGCCCGTGGACGTAGCTATCACATTGATAGTGAACCACGTTAATTCTTGATGTTGTTCTTATTGTTTTCATTGAATTTCTTTGTTGTTTCTTTATTGTTTTCGATCTTTGCTTCCGCTGTCGCACAACATGTGACTTCCGCATAACCATATTGATAGCTTGCTATTGTAGAGTGGTTTTTAGCTTTGAATTTGTAAGAAATCAATGTCTTAGTTCACTAATCACTCTAATTTTATGCATTTTTGTGTATTACGTGCTTCACGGGATTATAATTGTTTTTTATGACATTTTAGGTCTCAAGAATGGACTATGAAGCACCTCGGGAAGTAAGCAAGGAATTTAGAGCAATGAGGAAAAGAGGTGAAACAAAAATGAAGAAGGAAAAAGCAAGTTCGAAGAAAGAAGGAAGAAAGAGGCCAAGAAGACCCTGCACGGTCGTGCCAATCCTTCCACGTCCGTGCAGGAGAAGTCAGAAGGAACCAGACTTACTGCCCAGGTCTGCACGTCCATGCAGAGTTCTTGCGCGTCCGTGCAAGTCAGCAATTTCCAAGACAGTAGCTACTGCCTCCTTTCAGACGTTCTGCACGGCCGTGCACAATCTGGCACGTCTGTGCAGGTGGATGCACGTCCGTGCCAGACCTTGGCACGTCCGTGCAGACCTGTTGTTGAGCCCGATTCTTGTTTTCTCCGTTCTTTTTATTTATGGGTCATATAAATACCTCCTTTTAGCTTGTTTGGACGGATCTTCTTCTCTCCTAACTCCCTTAGGCTTATTCTCTTAATTAGTGCATAGTTTTCCTCTGCCATAGTTTAGATTTTCAAAACTCAATCATTTGTACAAGAATCAATTGAAGTTTGTTCTATCAATTTCAACAATTTCTCTAATCTTGAAGCATCAATTCTAGTAATCTCTTTCCTCTTTATCTCTTAATTTTCTGATTTTATATGCTTATTTGTCTTACTTTATCTCTAATCCT